AATCGAATTCAGCGTCCCCACAAACGCTGCGCCGGTGCTGCCTATGTTCACTGCGGGACCCGTCGTCGTTTCGGCAGTGGTCCCGAGTGACCTCTCTCATGGCTCACTAGGCCTGCCTGACTAAGGCGCTCGCGACCGCATGTTCTACAGCACCATGCGCTCGATGTCGATGGAGTACAATTCATCGGTGCTTGCCGCTCCCGCAACTACATATATATATATATATATACATATATATATATATATATGGAGCAGTGGCTTGTGTCGGCCAGACACTTACTGATCATTTGCCTGCTGCTTCCAGTGAGTTGCCACTGTGTCATGCCCTGGAAGCGTTTCGTTGAAACCTTCACGCATGTACCTAAGTGCTAGGACACACAATTCTGCTTGAGTCGATCCACTGACTCATGGCGCACGGCCCACTGTCTTTCGAGAGTACGTAATAAAGCGACCCTTAGCTGAGAAGTTGAGTCATGCTGCTATCAAGTGCGAATTCCCTAACAGTATCCTGGTCAAATACCAACCATGAATTGCGCTAATAATGATAATCGCATGCTGCGCAAGGGCGTCGGGCGGTGACACTAGAAAAGGTGTCGTCTTAGCTTCTACATAAAGCAGGGTGGATAATTGAATATATGCTACCGCTGATGCCCTCTGTCTTCCCTTTCTGCACGTACGCTACCCATCCCCATTTCACACAACCAAAAAGTTCCTCCAACATAGGTCACCACACAAGGGATTGTCCACCGCCACAGTCGTATGACTACGTGCAAAGTACTCAACCTCAAGTGACGGGACCTGCACAACGCCCTCGACCGGAATACGGGCGAGCGGCCCCAGCGACGGACTGCAATGCTCGCGATGAAACTTTGAGTACGGGATCAACGCTGCCGCAGTTAGCGAGGATTGGCTCATTGACCAAGTGAAGCAGCGTGATGCTGGCGCAGCTTAAACGTTTTACTGGTGTGGAACGATACCGCAGCACCACGTGAACATGGGGTCAAATTTACTCTATCCGAACGCCTAAACTGACTAGTTGGTGGCAGAGCTGACTAGCAGCTGTCCACTATTTATGAAGAACCGACTGCGGCTTGGAAGAGGCAACGCTGCCACTTTTGTTAGCACAGTTGACCTTACCAGGTGTTGCACGATATCACAATGGGACCAGTTTTACACTCAATCACGAAACTTTCCCTTCTCTTGACCATATCCATCTTTAAACTTTTCGTTCTTATCCTCTCAGTCTCTTCACACTTTGGCGTTATCCTTCAATTAAATAACTTTCAGTCCCCGTTATCTTCTGTGCCGTCTGTGCTTACAAAAGTGGCAGCGTTGCCTCTTCCAAGCCGCAGTCGGTTCTTCATAAATAGTGGACAGCTGCTAGTCAGCTCTGCCACCAACTAGTCAGTTTGGGCGTTCGGATAGAGTAAATTTGACCCCATGTTCACGTGGTGCTGCGGTATCGTTCCACACCAGTAAAACGTTTAAGCTGCGCCAGCATCACGCTGCTTCACTTGGTCAATGAGCCAATCCTCGCTAACTGCGGCAGCGTTGATCCCGTACTCAAAGTTTCATCGCGAGCATTGCAGTCCGTCGCTGGGGCCGCTCGCCCGTATTCCGGTCGAGGGCGTTGTGCAGGTCCCGTCACTTGAGGTTGAGTACTTTGCACGTAGTCATACGACTGTGGCGGTGGACAATCCCTTGTGTGGTGACCTATGTTGGAGGAACTTTTTGGTTGTGTGAAATGGGGATGGGTAGCGTACGTGCAGAAAGGGAAGGCAGACTCATATCAAACGGATACTCGTACTTTACTTACTGGTGCGACGCTCTTGTCACTACGCAGGTGATAGCAATCCACCTATACGGCTAATGATTCTATAGGATACTCAAAAGACATTTTCAGCATAATTATTGTTGCACAGTGTACATGCTTTTGTCTCAAGCCCAAATGTTTTAACATACGACATTAACAATGTTCAACTCCATGCCTGTTCTTGCGGTCTTCTCTCGGTTGTCCCTCACTTTCCCTTTTCTCTCTGAGGTCCGGGACACCTTGGAGATCTGAGATTGGACTGAGGAACAGTTTTGGCCCAAAACGGACGTAACAACCCACAAGGACTGACATGAAGGATGGTAAAACTCCGCAAGGACCGACCCACAATCACCATAACCCTTGTCCAGTATGGAGAACTGGATATGTCCTCATACTCCCATACATCTGAAAAATCTGGACAGTGGAAAAATTGAACCTTTTGCTCACCTGGACATACAACAAGAAGAAAAATCGCGATGGCCCTCTCCTCCACCGACCTCAAAAATCGTGGCGACCCAGATCAGAATACCCGTCCAACTAACAAAGGAAATTAGAAGCCATTACCCCGCGAAAAACCGAAGGTGAAACCAGTCGTCAAGCGGCTTTGCGAGTTCAACATTAATGTTCAAAATGCTTTACGGCAGTGTTTCAGGACGTGGTGGGTTTTCGCCTGGCAAGCGTTCTCCCTATAAAGAGCCACAAATGTCTGTTTAACAACACTGCGACGTGGCGGATGTGACTCGCCACTGAATAAAGTCACAGCCCACAACTACATACTGGCAAGTCGACTAGATTCACATATCAACTCTTCCTGACACCGTTTCAACTACATACGATTGAACCCGATGTATCATCGTGATATACAACAGTTTTTAAACCTTGATCATGCCTAAGTTGGTGCGTCTCTATGAAACTGAGAATAAACTATCTATTTATGTATTTTATCATGGACATATGACCAATTTTCTACTGTTACTGTCACAGTTGCCATAAAATATTTGTACAGTTGTACATATCTGATCATGCCTCCATTGGCGTGCCTCGCGTAGTCGAGAATAAAGTATTTATTTATTTATTTATAGAAGGCATCAGCGGTAGCATATATTCAATTATCCACCCTGCTTTATGTAGAAGCTAAGACGACACCTTTTCTAGTGTCACCGCCCAACGTCCTTGCGCAGCATGCGATTATCATTATTAGCGCAATTCATGGTTGGTATTTGACCAGGATACTGTTAGGGAATTCGCACTTGATAGCAGCATGACTCAACTTCTCAGCTAAGGATCGCTTTATTACGTACTCTCGAAAGACAGTGGGCCGTGCGCCATGAGTCAGTGGATCGACTCAAGCAGAATTGTGTGTCCTAGCACTTAGGTACATGCGTGAAGGTTTCAACGAAAAGCTTCCAGGACGTGACTCAGTCGCACATCTTTGGGAGCAGCAGGTAAACTAATGGCCTTCATTCATCGGCCCTAGCAGGACGATGTGAAATCGCGTCTGACAGGCACGCCGGCAGTGAATGAGCCGAAGATAGCTCTTGCTCAGCTTGGAAGTGGAGGACTTAGGGAGGGGGGCCAAGCGGACCAGGATCCCAAGGCCTTTTGGATCTCCTCTAGCTTTGGAGACGCCTAGTCACGCCATGGACTTAGGAGGATCCCCTCTGGTGTAGGACTCGTCGAACTCTTGCACTTTCCGGCATTGATGGACATTGAGTTTACTGAGCTGGAAGGGTTGTTAGACTTAGTACTTTCGTCCTCACCGGTTAGGGCAAAGCGAGATGGTGTAGAGCAGGAGTGGTGGGCAGCAACGCTCGACTTTACAGTTAGGGAGCTATCGGAACACCGAGGCGAGAGGCTCCAGTCATACTTGCTTCTAGATCTTGCCCTGAACATTTAGGAAGGGCGGCTGGACACCGCCGAGTCAAGGTAATGTTTGAGGTCCACTTGGATACATGCTTTCCATCTAAGTGGATCAAGCGTAGGAAACTAGAGGTCGCGGTCGCTGTGGGTAAACGAAAAAGCCGTCAGGTGACTTACGGTAAGGTGAAAACACGCTGCAGGAAGAAGCTCAAGGACGCAGTTGGATGTATATTAGATGGAACTTGAAAAGACATCTACAAGCTGTCGGACAAGTTATGCGACGATGGCCAGGAGTGCTGTCGGAATACTTTTGCTACTCCAGGCTCGGAGGGCACAAGACCGCCCCCGGATGCGGTTGAGAATTACGACTTAATCTCCCAAATCACCGTTGCGGAAAGCCAAGAGGCACTCAAAGGCTCGAACACCACAAGCCCAGGACCCGATGCCGTGACCACCCTAGAGCTTAGGCGTATGAACAACACAGTGCTAACACAGGTCTTCAAGCTGATGCTGGTGCTCCAGATCCCTACTAAGACTGCCTCGTTAGCGCGTATATCGCTCATCCCCAAGGTAGTCAAGCCGGAACACCCAAACAAATACCGACCGTTAGCTATGGCTTAAGTGCTACTAAGGACGTTCCACAAGATCTTGACGCGTCGTTGATGACCAGTCCTGAAGCCAACATCGCTTCATGTAACATTCCAGAAGCGGGATGGGTGCCTATAGGCTACCTACGCTTTGCACTGTTGGTTGCGTCGAATGCCAATGCGCAGTTAGGATGCGGCGGTTGCGTTCTTGGACGTAGCCAAAGCGTTTGATACTGTTTCGTTTGACTAGGTGCTTTGGGCGACGCAGAGCCAGGGTGCACCTGGGCCTCTACTGCGATAACTGGACCAACTGTACACGCAATCGGAAGTACTGTTCGAAGGTGTGCGCCTTATGTGCGGTAGGGAAGTGAGGCAAGGTGATCCACTGTCTCCTCTACTCTTCATTATGACTATGGACGAGGTACTTGCCAATTCGGGACAAGGGCTCGTGGGATCTGCTGTGGCTGGCGATCCGAACGGAGCGCTGGCCTATGCGGATGACTTGGTGCTAGTTGTTAACTCACCCTAAGAACTGCAAGCTAAACGGTAATTCTTAACTAAGGGACTACGAGAGGCTAGTATGGCACTGCGCATCGCCGTGTCGATCTATGATAATCAGAAAGATGGGGAAGAGGAAGCTAGTCGTATTGGAACCCCAATCCTATAAGATCGGAGGAGAAGTAACACCGCCAATGTTGCCCAGGGAGGAGGTCCGCTACCTCCGTTTGCCATTTACCTGGATGGGACGGAAACCTCCTAAGGCTAATACTGAGCTGGAGGCTATGATAAGAGAGATAATTAAGGCGCCACTTAAGCTTCAGCAACGAATTCGGATTCTGTGTCATGTTGCCTTAAAGCAGATTGAGTATGAGATGGTATTAGGTAAAGCGCACCGCAACACCATAAAGGCAGTGGATGGGATGGTTCGAGAAACCATCCGGCGATGGCTCCGACTAGCGAAGGACACCTTGATGGCCTTCCCTTATGTTAGCTCAGCGAATGGAGGTATGGGTGGGCCGCAGGTGGGGATCACAGTACCCTTGGCGCAACGAGAGAAGTGTCGAAGGCTACTTACGTCTCCCGACGAGTGGATTAAAAGCCTAGCCACGGATGACGCAGTCCCAGTGGACAAACGGATAGCTAGTCTACCTATTAGAGTTGGAAACACCGACGTAGGTAACACAGCGGAGGCTGTCCAAGCTTGGAGATCTCAGTACACGGAGACGCTAAGTCTCAAAGGAGTTCGTATGGACCTAATGGACAAGTCGAGTGCCCTATGGGTTCGTCGTCCTGAGAGATTCTTCCCTGTCTTTACATCAGGGGCCTTAAGCCTAGGGCAGGAGTATTACCATCGAAAGTGGATAGTACTAGAAGCGCGTCCCATAAAGCTGGAGTTTCTCTCAAATGCCGAGGGATATGTGGGTACCCGAAATTAGTCACCCACCTCTTGCAGAAGTATGCGATTACGCATGACGCGCGATGTGCACGGCACAACTGTGTAGCTCGGAAGATTGCTACTTTAATCCGTAAGCGTGGGTTGAAAGTTTGGCAGGAGCCTATGGTAGATAAGGATAAGGGCTACTGCAAGCTGGACCTGGATATTTCTTCTCGGAACGAAGTCTTAGTCATGGACGTAGCCGAAATGAACTATTCTCAGCTTGATCGCGAGGCGGCCGCTGGCATCTTCGGGGATCAACCAATTCCACCAGCACTTTCTCGGCAAACTTTTCGTGAGCTCCGCAGATCATAATCCCCTTATCTCGCTCCTTGGGCACGAAAAAGGTATTCAACAAATGGCATTCCCAGCATGATCAGCTGGTCCATCACAACATTTGCTTACATATACCAGCTTCAGTTTATTCCAGGCAGACAGAACGCCGCTGCTGAGGTCCCCAATCGACTTTCTTCACCAAATGTCTCTTCAGAAGACTCCGCACGAACTTGTGAATCTAATTCAGCGCTTCAACAAGGCTTCAAGCTCGTCCACAGATATACGCTACGAGACAGATACAGATCCGTTTATTAGCGCTGGTGATGCGATACGTTCAGGTTGGATGGCCTGAAAACACACCTGCAAAACTTACAATGTTCCGCCATAGAATAACTAAACTGCGCCTCCGGAATAAATGTTTGCTGTGGGTTGCACGCGTTGTGACAGTTTAAAGCTTGCAATCAGCCATCCTGAACGAGCTACACTATGCACACCCAGAAGTTGCCAAGATGAAGGCACCGGCCCGTTGCTAGATATGGTTGCCTGAATTGGATGGTGACATTGCGGCGAAAGTTGGATGTTGCATGCATCGTCAAAACTCTCGAACCGCTCTCGATTACATACATAGCAATGTGCTTGTTGCGAAACATAATTGCATGTAAATGTTGATCATCCCTGGTTTGGTATGCCTCTACAATTTCGAGAATAAATTATTTCTTTATTTATTTGCGATGACATGGATATGGCCAGCGGCGCCCTGGAAAGGTGTGCATGTAAACTTTTTCGGTACACTTGAAAGTCAAATGGTGTTGATTGTAGTTGATGCGCAGGCTAAACGGAGTTTTGCTCACGTTCGGTCCACAGCGCCTACAGATAGCACAATAATCGAAATACGCCCTACGTTCTCTACTTTGGGACTTCCCGAAACAAGTGGCTGCCAACGGATCTGTAGTCACTAACACTATTTTCTACCTTCTTCAACTCAACTGCAGTCGGAAATGTGACTACCGCCCCTGTTCATCCGTCTTCAAACAGCTTGACTGAAATGGTTGTACAAACAGTAAAAAGTATGCTGCTCAGACAAACAGGTGCGCTATTGCGTGTAGATGGTGTGCTTTTTGCTTACCGAAATATGGTGAACGATACCACCGGAAGAAGGCCGCCGTTTGTGTACTCGTTTGGCCTTCCTGCACGGAACACTGGCAGCCTAAGTTGACAAAACTAAGAGCGGGTGAAGGAACGCTTTGATACCCGCAGCAGAAATAGGTTTGTAACAGAACCAGATCCAATCTACACATGCTTGTTTACAGACGAAGGATGGCAGCCAGTGGTTGTCAAAACAGCCAGTGGACAGTTCACAGAGGCAGAGATCGAAGACGGCAAAATCGTGGGGCGTCACATGGATCCCGCTTGGCCAAAGCCGTCAACAGCCGAAGCAACCTGTGAGCCATATTTTTCACCCGCAACATTGGGCGACGTGGGCGCGAATTACTCACCACCTGAAGCCAAAGCGTCGCTGCGTAGATCAACCCGCGCCCGCCGACCGGTTTAGCGTTTCCGAGTTGCATAGTTGCAACTACAGAGGGAAAAATAATGCGCCATAGGCTAGTGTTCCATGTCATTTTTACTGACTGCAAACATACGCAGGCGTGTGTATTTCGTCCTTCCTCTCAGGCGCACATTGGCAGAATCCCTCTGTGTCTGATCGAACAATAAACAGCACTGAAGTTACTTGCTTGCTGCTATACATTACCTTTAGGCACCGTTGCTTACGGTGTACTTTAATACCTTTTTGTACAACTGGGTGTAACAGAAGAAAACGACCGTTGGCCGGTCAAATTTCTGACGACGCCTAAGTATTTGGCGGAGTGTAGAGACGTGCTCGCTGCAACTTCAACCAGAGTGGGACCTGGCTTGCACTTTACGTATGCGCTGTTTGATTATCAGGCTACATCTTCTTAAAAGCAGAGCTGTGAGCACCGTGGAAGCAACAAAGGTGACTCTAAGCCTATTGTGGTTGGCGCAGTCAGTTCGGGTACCATTTTTGAAGAAGGGCACAACATGCGCTGGGCTCCAATCAGATGGACTAACTTCAGTGCCCCATACCTCTTGGAGATGAGAACTCCTTACCAAGTAACATGCATCTATCTTTAAACGATCCAGAAGGAATTCAGTTGGGCGGGGCTTGGTAGCGCATTAAGAAGTGCTTCTCCTAGAATACTTCAGCCCCAGATATTAGTGAAGCAGCAATACAATTTGGAGTGTTTTGGATTCCAGCATGGAAACTATGCGGTGCGACTGGCCAATTCAATTGTTGCTCAGAATGCTTGGCGTAAAGCCAATGTATGCTATGGATTTCACATGAAACTTTGCTTAAAGTCCTCCTTTTGCCGACAGTAGATCGGATCAGGAGAAGAAACTTACTAGACTTTTCCGAGGTGGGCGTTTACTCTATCTGAATGAGCTGCTGCGTCCACCAGGCCTCAGGAGCTTCCCGGAGAACCTGTCCAAGCTCCGCCTTAGTAGTCGTGCGTAGTGAATGGTATTTAACGCTAGCCGGAAGTGCTCGACAAGCATGGAGAAGTTAAAGGGATCGTGTAAAGATCCAGTGATTGGCAAGAAAATTGGTGAAAGTGCAGGCCACGGCCGCAGGGTCGTGCATAGCACCGTGGATGTATGTCCAGTGTTGTTCAATGTTTGTGCACGAGAAGGTCCTCAGGTTTTAGGCAATGACCTTTTGCCATGCATGGAGAACGTTCGGGGCCAAGCTTAGCTATGTCAAGGCTTTCTGACGCCGCTGCTAGAAGCCACCAAAATGTTGAGCTACCTTGGCGCACACCAATATTTGGGCTGAAGTGAGATAGGTACTCCAGATTGATTTACCTTCCTGCAGGCAGCCCCGACAGCGATAGCTAATTACGATATGATCAATCTGTGTCCATGGCTAGCCAGGCGTCGTGGGTCACCAGGTGACGCGATGGCGTCAGGATCCCTATAAGCTAGTACTGGACAGAAGTGGCTGGGACAGGCACGAAGCTGCAGTAATCGGTCACCAGTGCCTGTTCTGCGAGTGCCACGACCGAATTGAGCACTGAGCACCAGTTCGTTAACTTCAAGTCGACCGATCTGCGCATTCAAGTCCCAGGCGAGCACCACGATGTCGGAGGGGCACATTTTTACGGAGGTCGGCCAGCTGGCCATAGAACTCATCTTTAACTGCCTCTGCGCCTTAGGCTACGACAAAGAACCGACAGCGTCTACTTGCTCTGCGCCTGGACAGTCGCACTGATACTTCAAGTAGGGTCGCGTACAGTCGACTGTTGGTAGGGATCCAGTCTAGTAGCTCTGTGGCACATTAGCGGGGCCGTGCTTCTCAACTGCAGCTATCAAGCGTGGATGATTTTGCTGGGTCTAGTAGCGCAGCCTCAGCATGTGCGCCCAAGACAATCTCCAAGCCAGCGTACCCAGCGGACTTGGCGGCTGAGTCCCCAGATAGGTACAAAGTGAACCTGTTAGTGGAAAGGGCAGACGAAGAAACTAGTCATAGAGTCGTGATAGGGTCCCGTAAACGGGTCACCCTAAGACAGAAGACATCAACTGCCGTAGTTTCCACAGCGCAAACAAGGGCCGCCTGTGATCCAATCTGCTTCAGCTTCCAAACCTTAAAGGTTACCCGCTTGAATTGGGAACGGGGAGCTAGCAGTGGCAGGTCAACAAGGCTTGGTGTACCATCGGACCTCGGCTCTCAATCCATATCACAAGAACGTGCGTGCAGGGCGGCACGGTCTTATGAACTCGAAAACGGAAGGTGAAGACCAAGAATGAATTGTCGAACAAGCGTGACATAAAGTCATTAAGCAGCACTGCGGTGAAACTTGGTTTTGCAGACTTAGACCAAAGAGAGCAGTTCCAGAGAGTGAGAGAAGACAGAGCAAAGCGGAGAGATTGAGCGAATAACTGTTGAGACAAGGATTCGCAGGTTAAGTAGCCATGGTGCTTCCTAGTTACCCAGGCTGGGGAAGAGGTTTGAATTAGGAGGCCCGCACCGGAGAATTGGGCCATGAAAGACCTAACCCGCTAGGCGATTGACGTATACCGCAAATTGTCGAAAGCCGGCTATTTAGATAAGAACCAAACTGCTTTGGAGTAGAGCAGAACTACTCAGGGCATCTAACGAGCTAGAGTGGTGCAACAAGGAATGTTAGGGGCGCATATACTGAAGCACCGATCATTCAAAACTAACGATCAAAATCCAGAGGTTGTTCAAACATGGAGCAGGATTGTAGGGAAAAAGTTATCCCTGCGATAAGAGTCTTATTCCGATCTCAGTCGATTTAGGCAAAACACTCACTGAACCACAGTAAACTACGTACTTCTACTGACTTCCTAGCCTAGTGGTATGAGCCGGTGTGTAGCGCAGCGTTGGCTGTGTTATAGTTTTTGGCCTTTGAGCGGAGAACACTGTAGTATGCTTCCGGTCGTGAGTTTAGAGGGCAGCCGTGTAAAGAGCGTACGTGAATCGTAGTACATAAGAAGGCTGAAAAACAAGAGAGACAATTCATAGGCGGCTAGACATCCATGCAGTAAGTGTTGGAGTTGAATGAACAGTGTGCTTTTGTCTAAGCTCGTAGATAGCTAAGCGGTACTGTCACACCTGCAGATAGAGGACCGAGCTCAAGACGACCAGATGGATGGCGTGAAAGCGCATGCATGATAGGTGGCTAA